GACTTGGAAAATTTGCAATAATTTAGCCGTCAAAAATTAGTTTTTTTTTCAATAAGTGGGAAAGAGAAATAGAGTAATATAAGAACATTAAAAAACCACAGAGTGAGCTGAGATATAGACACCACTATGAGTTAGCCTGCATAATGGCTCTTGGTATAAGCCAAAGCGACGGAAACGCGGATTTAGTTTAAGACGTAAGATAGAAATAAAAGCTCTTGTCGTTGCTGCACACGATCAAGCTATACGTACAAATTAAGGGAAAGCAAAGATCAAGACGCCGGTTGATCCTAAGTGTAGAATGTAAAGGTGGAGTGATGAGGCCTGATCAGCCAAGTGGAGAGGAAAGCAAACATATTGTGTTCCTTAGTGTCTCTGAGCAACTTGATGTTACCCGAAGCCAGAGAAGAAACCAGCTTTAACATCATATCAGCTGTGTAAAATTGCAATAATCATATAATAATAACTGAAGAAACGACGTTTATCTCGTATTCATATTTATCATTCTTAGCGTGACTCAAAGCTGCAACAAGCTTTAAAGTGCTTGGTCCTACCTTTTTTTTTACTCACTTGTTCCTATTTTAACAGGTCATGAACATTAGCTTATTGAAACGTCTTAACTAAAAGCGCCAAAAGTTAATGGATTTGGCTTTCGTATGATACGCATAATTACACCGACTGAGGACGTTAAAGGGCCTTGGCCGTCGATTTGCCCTTGGTCTAATTTCGACTTTTCGTATAGCATACGAAAGCCGAAACCAATAATTGTTTTATTATTCATTAAAAATTTATTTATTTATTCATTTATTTATAACTTTAAAACATGCTATCAAGCAAGAAAAAAGTGTCCGTTGTCTAGACTACGACAGGAGCTGACTACGAGTAGTCAGCCATTTTTCCTCAGGGATAGTAGAGCGAGCAAAACGCGAGCGCGCGTGTAAATCATCCCATGCGAGAAAGGCGAGACGCGGTGGGGAGGGAGAAAAATGAGCTCCCCCACAGCGTTTCGCCTTTCTCGCGTGGAGTGATTTTCACGCGCGCTCGCGTTTCGCTGAGGAAACATGGGGGACCACTCGTAGTCTAGGCAGTAAAGGGTGTCCGTATTAAGCGGATTGAATTTAGAGAAAATGTGTGGACTTTCCCCAGGGGCAAAGAAAACTGTTCGTAATAACAAGGTCCCCATATTAGGCGGGTGTCCATAACAAAAGGCGGGATTCGACGGTAGTTTCGTTTCCCTCGCTCGCGCGTACCGCGTGACTTTTCACGGTATCCCCCAAATAGAGAGCTTCCTCGCAGGCTAGAAGACCGCTTTCACTTGTACAAGGGCTGAGCGCATGTGTAAGGTACTGGTAATGCCGTGGGTTGGTGAGTGTGTCACTTGCTCTTAGGTTTCTATACTTACTTCTTGGATGCAATTTCGAGGGAATACCAGAAAATAGCGAGAGAGATAGCAGGGAAAGGAATTGAAATTGAAGTTGGTGAACTGAAATGGAGGGGAGAGAGAAAAAAGCTTTGGCAACCAAACACTTCAACAACTGTACTATTCCGCCTTTACTGATAATTTTTTTGACAT